GTAACACTGCAGAACAGTGCAGAAAAAGACAATATTTATGATAAACAGTAATGGGTCAGTAGAATGGGGAGATTTCAGACCCTTTCCATTGCTTATCAACTTTAACCCTCCTTGCATTTTCCCACCTTTGAGTAACAAATTCCTTTCCTCTCTCCAGGACAGAGCGTCTGCTCAGCAGCAACTGTGGATGGTGGAAGACACGCTGGCAGGTCTGGGGGGCCCCCAGAAGCCACCCTCCAACACTGAGCCTGACTCCCCATCCCCTGCTCTCCAAGGCGAGGAGTCCTCGGAGAGGGAGGTGAGGCCACACACATCTTTCCCACCTCCAGTTTCCTGTCCCGTCTGCCCCTGGCCTAACCCATTACCCACTCACCTCTTTCACCCTTGATCGGCTAACCAACCTCAGGTACACATCCTAAGCTTTAGAAGCTTCTATTTCCTTATTTGGTATTATGGTCATAGTCCAGAGGTGTGCTGGACCCACAACACAACAACTTGGTGAGTTGCAGACACCTCACAAGGTCCAGTTGCCTGCATCTCAACTCCACACTCAGTGATGACATGTCAGTAGCTTGAAATTGACTATGGTGGGAGTATTTACACCATGGAAATTGGCAAACTGCTGCAAAGGAGGGTTCTTTTCTTCCAGAGGGCATTTGTTAAACATTTACCAGATAGCACTGATGTTAATCCCCACCCTGCAGGGTTCTTTTTATTTTTTTTTTTAGTTTAAATATTTGCTTGCAGTTTATTTTGGTTTTTCTAAATAGACATTCACATCTGTAAACAATAGGATTTTGGTTTCAGCCCCAACCCCCAATTCCTTACAAGTTTTTATTCTCATCCATTGGCTAGAACTGCCATTTGTTGTTGTTTAGTCGCTAAGCTGCGTCCAACCCTTTTGTAACTCCATGGACTGTAGCACACTAGGCACCCCATGGGATTTCCCAAGCAAGGATACTGGAGCGGGTTGCCATCTCCTTCTCCTGCAGGGTTCTTTAGAAAGACGACATTGTGACTAGACAGTGCCTGACATAGAGTAAGCCCTCGGGAACCAGGAGCCAGTGTGGTCATAGCCGAGTAGAACTGTTGCCAAGCCTGATCATCAGGTCATGCATCTGGGAGACCTGGGTTTTGATCTCACCTCTGCCGTCTTTGTGACATCAGTCACTGACCTCACTCTCTGAGCCTCAGTTTCCCCGTCTGTCAAATAGGGATAATAATAGCATCTCATACATTTACTGAAGGGATTCAATGAGATAATTCTGGTAAAGTGTTTGACACCATGCCAGATGCATAATCATTCTGAAACCTCACACGTGGACCCGTGTGGGAATCCCTGGTCGTTCAGTGGTTGGGAATTCACCTGCCAGGGTAGGAGACATGGGTTCTATCTCTGGTTCGGGAGGATTCCACATGCTTTTGGGTGACTAAGCCCAAGTACTCCAGCTACTCAAGTCCGTGCCGTCTAGAGCCTGTGCTCTGCAACTAGAGAAAGTCTAGGCAAAGCCACAAAGGTCCAGAAAAAACAAAATTAATTAGTTACCCCCCCCCCACAAGTTATAAAGACTTGTTATGTGCCAGGCACTGTTCTAAGGGCCTTACTTGTATCCATTTTGTCCTTGTATCAAAAGGTGAAATGTGGCACAGAGAGGGAAAGTAACTTGCCCAAGGTCACACAGCAAGCAAAATGGCAGAGCTGAGGTTTGAAAATGAGGTCTGGCTCCTGGTTTCAATCTTAATCCTGCTTATGTAGTGTCTCTACTGCTAAGTGCTTGAAAACTGTAGTCCTAGTGATCTATTACCCCCTTTCCTGACCTCCCCAGAGCCTGATGGAGTCCTTGGAACTGAGCTCATCCCGGTCTCCCGAGGCTGACTGGGGGAGGCCCCCAGGGGGCGACAGAGAGCTCACCAGCCCTCGCTCAGGTGAGCATCTGGGGTTGGGAGGGACTCACTCGGCATTCCGCAGCCTCACCCATCCCATTCTGCTGCTCCAGGAATTGGATCTCCAAGGGTCTCCCGGGCTTCCAGTCCTGAGGGTCGCCGCCCCACTTCCCCTCAGCCAGGAACCAAGGTAGGCAGTCCATCCGATCTCCTCAGGTCCATTATAACCCTTTGCCCACCACAGATCCCCTACTCCGGGAAACATCTGGGAGAGGAGTGTTCTAAGCCACCCCCCAGAGCAGAGAGAGTGAGATTTGTTAAGAGCATTGGGATTGAATTTTGTCTCTGCCACTTCTAACTTGTGTGACTTTGGGTTGGTTAAGAAACCTCTCTGCCTTCATTTTCTCATCTGCAAAATGGAGCTGATAGCCGTGTCTACCGCCCAGAGCTGATGTGAAGAGTCAAACTAGATGAATGCCCCTAAAGTTTGAAAGTAGTGCCTTAGAGCAAGCACTTCATTCATTCATTCATTCATTTATCAATCATTCATTCAACTGATATTTATTAAATGCCCTCTTTGCTATCTAACTGGAGAAGGAAATGGCAACCCACTCCAGTATTCTTGCCTGGAAAATCCCATGGACAAAGGAGCCTGGTGGGCTACATTCCATGGGGTCACAAAGAGTCAAACATGACTTAGTGACTAAGACTTTGCTATCTAATAAGGTAGCCAGTAGCCACATGAGGCTATTTAAATTTAAATGAATTTAAATGAAATAAAATAAAAAAATCACTTTCATTTGAGGAATTCAAGTATTCAGGAGATACACATGGCCAGCAACTACCCTGTTGAATAGTGAAAATATAGAATATTTTCATCATTCAGGAAAGTTCCCTCAGGACCCAAATGTGAGCAAGAGAAGAAAAAACATCCTCTCATGAGTCTAATATTCTAGTGGGAAGAGGTAAATATAAATAATTGACTATAAATTATTTTATGTAAGTGCTAAATAAATAAAAACAGTCTGGGGAGGGGATTTGGAACATTGGCGAGGGGACGGAGTTGTAACTGTTTTGGTCTGCGGAGGCTTCTGTCGGGGAGGGAGCCCTGGGGATGTCTGGTGGAAGAGCCTTAGGGGCAAAGGGAAGAGTGTGTGCCGAGGTTCTGGGGCTGAAGAGTCTGGCGTGTTGGAGGAGCAGCTAGGAGGTCAGTGTGGGTGGAACCGAGTAACCGAGTGAGGGGGAGGGGGTGCTGATGAGGACAGAGAGGTAATAGGGGCAGATCCGTGCTGGGCCTTGTGGTCCAACGTGAGGACTTAACTTTGACACTGGGTAAGCTGGAGCCGTGGAGACTTCTGAGCAGAGGAGCGGGAGTTTCCATAAATGGAAACTGGCGCCCTCTGGCGGCCACTTGAGGGAATAGACTGTGTGGATGCCGCCTGGGTCAGGGTTGATGGGGCCAGTGGGATATTTGGCGGGGGACGGATAACAGTTGTTTGCACTAACTTAGAAATGGAGACATCAAGAGGGAGTCAGATTCTAGATATACTGGGTTTTCAAACTTTATTAAAAACCCTTGGGACCTCAGATGCCATTTTTGTTTTTGTTTTGGCTGCCCCCAACGGGCTTGGCAGTTCTTAGTTCCAGGACCAGGGTTGGAACCCCAGTCCTGGCTGTGAGAGCGCCAAGTCCTAACCACTGAGCCGCCAGGGAATTCAGAGGTTTAAAATGCAAAAATTTGCAGATTCTAGACTGGTAATTTGGTGCTTATACTGTGTACTGTGTGTGTCTGGAGCAGCGTGTGTATGCGTGCTAAGTCGTTTCAGTCGTTTCCGAGTCTGTGCGACCTCATGGACTGTAGCCCGCCAGGCTCCTCTGTCCATGGGATTCTCCAGGCTAAAATACTGGAGTGGGTTACCATGCCCTACTCTCTCTGGAGCATATGCTTCATCAAATCCATTACCAGTTCTCTAATAAAATGTATGAATCTGCATATGAAATGGGATAAAAGCTATAAATAATACCGCCATTTAAATGTCAAGCTAAAAGCGGAGCAGTGAATTACTTAAGTGAAGGAGTCAGTGGAATAAAAATAGATTATAATATCAGCTGCCTTTTTTTCCCCCCCTCAGGAAAAGGTTTAGTAAACATGTCACACATCCAAGTACAAAGGAAGCCAAGAACCTAACTATTCACACGCAGTGAATGCATATGACATCTGGTGGCTTGAGGACTCTGGGGACAGAGGTCATTGGTCAGGCCAGCAGTGCCATCATCAAGTTGGACATAAGAGGCAGGACCAGGGGTGGGGGGTTCCTGAGGATGAAGCAGGTGACCTCTGTAGAGTTTCTTGCTGTGTCATCTGTGTTCCCCCCCTCCCCCCCAAGCTGCTTACTTCCCCAAACAGGGAACGGACCCAGGCCACAGCAGTGAAAGTGCCAAGTCCTAACCACTGGGAATTCCCTTGTCTGTTCCTTAATAAAGGGTCTTGTCTGGGCCCTGTCCTTTTAACTGAGTACACTGGTTAGAGTCTCTTGGTTGCTCATAAACACAAACTGCTGCTGAAGGTCAGCAATGAACTGATTGTTCATTTCATCATTTTGTCTGTGGGGAGTTTCCACCCTGTAGCCCCAAGGTCGTCAACAGCATCGCTGTAATCTCCCATTTCAGAATCTCAAGCCACAGCCTCGGTTTCTTTGTCTCCCACCAGTGCTCACTGAGTAAGTCATTGCTGGGACCAGTGGGAGCTTCCAGTTTTACCTGATCACCTTGGGTAAAAAGAGCAGGGATCGGGAACTTCCCTGGTGGTCCAGTGGCTAAGACTCGTGTTCCCAATGCAGGGGACCCAGGTTCCATCCCTGGTCAGGGAACTAGATCCTGCATGCCACAGCCAAGAGTTTGCATGCCCAAACTAGGAGACTTCCCATGCTGCAACTAAAGTTTCCATGTGACACAGTGAAGATCGAAAATCTTGCAAACACAGATCATTGGGGACTTTAGGGGACAGCTTCCAGGAAACCTGGGCATGTTGGGGATGGTTTCCTGGAGGCAGACAGATCCTGAAGAATGAATCCATGGCAAAGAATTTATCCATGGCAAAGCAGGACAAAGCTGGTGTAAAGTCTAGACTAAAGTGGGGATTTAGGAAGCCAGGACTTCTATTAGCCTACAGGATACCTTTTTGTGAATTAGAGACAGGCGTCCCCTTCTACGTGGGCAGAACCTGGATCCATCAATGGAGGGCTCAACCCTTGGGCAGTGAGCAACCCATACAACTGCACGTGGCCTCTTGGGAGCACAGAGCTCTGACCTCTGGAATGCCATCCACCAACTGAAGGTAGTTCAGTTCAAGTCAGTGAATTTCTCAGACCCTTCCTGACTGACAGGCCCTACAAGGCAAGATCCCCAGACCACGTCCTGTTTTCAAGGACCTACGTTTCTGAGTTTGCCAGTGTAGTGAATCTCTGCCTCACAATCTCTAGTTTCTTTTTCAACTTTGTTGTTGCTGTTTGCTGTTTTTTTTTTTCTTTTTGGCTGTGCCACGTTGCATGTGGGATCTTAGTTCCCCAACTAGAGATTGAACTGGTGCCCCCTGAATTGAAAGCACAGAGTCTTAACCACTGAACTGCCAGTGGTTAAGTCCATACTTAACCCCATTTTTCTGTGGCTTCCCCCCATCCTGAAGCTGGCAAACAGATCCTGCAGGAAAAGTATGGCTGCTGGACTTGGCAGGACCATTCTGATGCCCACTAAGCCATCAGCAGATGACCAATCCAAGTACAGTGTCAAGAGGAGTTGCTGTTTCTCCCTTTCCCCCTAAACTTTGGCAAGTGCAGGAAGAAATCCTGAATCCCCTTATTTGTTCAAGATTCTAATCTAGGGGCCAGCCTGTGTGGAAGGTGTTGGGGGACCTGCCAGGAATTACTCCTGATGCTGGAGTCTGATGGGAGAGAGGCATGAATGCAATCCTTACACACATCTAACAGAGTTAAGCTATTTTCTAGGGGGACTCAGCATTAGGAAGCCTTTGAAAGGTTAGGTAAGCAAAAGAGTTGGACATGACTTAGCGGCTAAACGAGGACGACAACAATAAGCTGTGTCTGGATTAATGAAAAAGTTTTGGCTGTGCAGGAAACAGTACTCCAAAGGGGAACAGGCTATGCATGCAAAGGCATGGAGTGGATAAAGAAAAAAGCAGCTGCTTTGTATAGGAAACAAAGCTGAATTTATTCCCTGGTGGCTCAGATAGTAAAGAAGCCACCTGCGATGTGGGAGACCTGGGTTCGATCCCTGGGTTGGGAAGATCCCTTGGAGGAGGGCATGGCAACCCACTCCAGTATTCTTGCCTGGAGAATCCCATGGACGGAGGAGCCTGGTGGGCTACAGTCTAAAGGGTCGCAGAGTCGGATACGACTGAGCAACTTAGCACAGTACAGCCAAAACAGACCTCTTGTAAGATACAGCCGATCTGAGCAAAGCAAAGAGTTGATGTCATATGGCATAGAGTTGGGACACGGGTGGGTTTGCGGAATCTGGAGTGTTGAGGGGCTGTTCTACACAGGGCCAGCGCTGATTGGCTGGCTTTTAGGGAGATGGAGGGGAGCGGGGGAATGCCAGTTATAACTGCTTATTGGAATAGGTTTAAAAGCTTTTCTGGTGCTTTCTTACTGTCAAGTGGAAACCAAATATTCAATCCGGCCTTTCTTAGGAAGAGAAGAACTATTTTCAGTGGTGTGTGTTAAGGATTGCTGAAAAGTGTTCGTCGTTCAGTTGTGTCTGACTCTTTGCAAACTCATGGACCGTAGCCCGCCAGGCTCCTCTGTCCATGGAAATTTCCAGGCAAGAATACTGGAGTGGGCAGCCATTCCCTTCTCCAGGGGATATTACAGACCCAGGAATCGAACCTACATCTCCCGCATTGCGGGCAGCTTCTTTGCCATTTGAGCCATCAGGTTGGGGCTGCACCAAGTACCATCATGGGGGACTTCCCTGGTGAAGGTCCAGTGGTGAAGATCCCGCGTTTCCAATGCAGGGGGTTCAGATTCAATCCCTGGTCCGGGAACTAAGACCCCCACATGCGATGTCTCACATCAAAAAAAAAAAAAAAAAAAAAAGAATAATAATCTTGGGAATGTCTCTTCCCCCAACCCTATGGGCGGCTTACATACAGGGGTGGGGCAAAGGAATTCAGGAATTTTAGAACTGAGCAAGGAAAGATATACCAGTAGGTGGCAGGAGCACAAAGGGTTTTAGTTGGTCCACGGCTGATGGTTTGCTCGCGGAATAAGTCCCGCACAGCAAGGGACCCTCCACGTTACTGCGTGGGGGCCACCGCCCAGGAGAAGAGAGGCCGGGGACAAGGGGACTCCCAGGAGAGAAAGAGATTGGAGAAGGGGCTTAAGGATCTAGGTGATGTGCTTGGCAGCACAGAGGGTGGGGCTTTTATAGCTACAAGTTAATCCTGCTTATGGCTCCAGATGCTGGTTGCAACTTCAGGAAGAATTTAAAGCAGGCAGGCTCCAAATGGCTAAAAATATCCACCTATGTGGGCTGTCTTTGAAACAAGTGGATGTGTAAAAGTTTCAGTTTGGCCCTGGAGGAGACTTTCAGGTCAGCGGTCTAGCCTGTTGTGAAGAAGTAGGTGACACAGGGCCGGGAAACTCCCTGGCGGTCCTACACTCCTCGCTTTCACTGCAGAGGCGCACATTCGATCCTTGGGAACAGAGGTCCCACAAGCCCCACGGCTGGACAGGAAAAAACAAACACATAGGGCCAGTTTCCAGGTGGGCGTGTGACCCAGGATTGATCAAATCAAAGCGAGTAAACTGCAGTGATTGGTCCTACAATAAGCAAGATCCAAGCTGTCTGCCTAGAATTTTCTAACTGGAGACTGCAGTCAAGAGTTCTCTCTCCACCCCTTCCCTTTGTTTTTTGCTTAAACAATAAATGTATTGTCTTGCAGTTCTGTAGGCTAGAAGCCTGAAATCTAGTGTCCACAGGGCCACGTGCCTTCTGAAGGCGCTAGGGAGGGATCACTTCCTCGGCTTGTGGCATCATGACTTCACCTGTCACCTGGTGCTCTCCCTAGGTGCACATCTGCGTCCAAATTACCCCCTTTCCTGAAGTATAACACACGTTTGTCACTCTGGTGGCCCCTTTCCTGCTCAGAGCATCCCAGATGTCCAACAGCCTTCCTTCATTTTATCCCGTCTCTGTCTCCTTCGTTTTGACTGGACAGCTTTTCTGCCGAGCTGGTTTACTGGACTCACACATTACATGCCTGATCTCTTAGCAAATGGTTTTCCGGTCACACCCTTGGCATTCTCTTCAGAGCAAGCTTCCTTGTGAAGCAGATAGATTGAGAATGTTTCAGATTTCAAGTTCTCCTTCCGTTCATCCCCGTCCTCTCGTGTTTTGAGTTTCTAAGGCTCTAAGCCCAAGAACAAGGTGTCATCAGGATCATGCTTCTGGAAGCTTCAGACAGAGTTCCCTGGCTTGTGGCGGATAACCACAATTATCACAGGACCGTCTCCCTGTGTGTCTCTTTCCTCTGGTTTTGAGGGCACTAGAGAACTTGTCGAGTCCTCCCTCAGGCAAACCCAAAGTGATCTTCTTTGATGATCTAGTTACACAATAAATCTCATCCTTCATGTTAATGTTTTAAGCTGATTGAAACCAGACTTATTATTATTTTAATCATGAGTAAACCAGAGTCCTGACTCCTACTTCCAAGAGACTTGCTGTCTCCAGAGAAGAGTGGGTGTTGATCAGGCTGGCATTACAGGTTCCAACAGGGCAGCTGATGGGGTTGAGGCCAGACAGGTGGGTAGCAACCAGTCTCACAGGAACTGTAACACCTTTGTCCTGAGAGCCTTGGGGATATGGAAGGACTTGAGCATATCCAGCAGAGGGACAGCCTGGGCTCCAGGTGTAGAAATAAGTCCTCAAGATTCAGGGCTGAACTTACTGGGAAGGGCAAGACACGGGAATTCTCCAGGCCAGAATACTGGAGTGGGTAGCCTTTCCTTTCGCCAGGGCATCTTCCCAACCCAGGGATAGAACCCAGGTCTCCCGCATTGTGGGCGGATTCTTTACCAGCTGAGCCACAGGGAAGCCCAAGAATACTGGAGTGGGTTGCCTATCCCTTCTCCAAGGGATCTTCCTGACCCAGGAATCGAACCGGGGTCTCCTGCATTGCAGGTGGATTCTTTACCAACTGAGCTATGAGGAAAGCCTAAGACACAGGAGGCTGAGAGGTTCAGGGAAGAGAGAAAACAGAGGCCATGGTTGGAATCTCTAGATGTTTCTCATCTCCCCAGGTCCCCCTGGCCCGGCCCCGGATGAGTGCTCAGGAGCAGTTGGAGAGAATCCGAAGAAATCAAGAGTGTGGGCGGCCTCTTCCTCGCCCGGTCTCCCCCCGGCTCCTCACCCTGGGGAGGACACTGTCCCCAGCCAGACGCCAGCCTGATGCGGAACAAAAAGTGAGGGAAACAGGGGTGGGTCAGTGAGGCAGCAGTGGGTTCTCAGTTCCTGGTTGGACCCTCAGTTTTCCTCTCTGTAAAATGGGGATTTTTTCCTTCCTCTGTATCAGGTTTACTTGTACCTGTTTTAAATTCAGCATCCTGTCTTCCTTATCAGTGGAGAACAGGATGGGCCAGAGGCAACATCTCCATCCTCACCAGTATTCTCACTACTCTGGGAGGAGTGGGTTTTAGAGCTGGATTGGAAGCCAAGTTTTCCTGTTCAGTTACTATGCTGTCAAAGGCAAAGAAAAAAGAAAAAAATGTATTTACTCTATTGCCATGGAGATCACACTGCCAATCTGAAGATCAGAGTGTCTGGGCAGGATGGTTTTTTTGTTTGTTTTTTGTTTTGGGCTGTGCCACTGCACAGCTTGTGGGATTTTAGGGCTTGGGTTTAGTCCATGTTTGAGGACTTGGCTGTGGGAGCGCAGAGCCCTGCCTACTGGACCACCAGGGAATTCCCCATGGATAATTTCATCTTAAGACTCTTCTAGGAAGGAATTAGACAAGTGGGGTGATTTTGTGATTGTGATTATTTTTGTAAATGGGGGGTATCTCAAATCTGCTGAATATCAAACATTGATCTCTATGTCTAGCTAGCTTTTCGGGGGCAACAAGTTCATTAATCATTTATGACAAAAGGAATGTGAATTTGGAGGGTCTGTTTCTGGCCTTGTCACAGGGGGCTCATCTGTGAATCTTGTCGATGAAAATTCTATTAAAATCAAGTTAACAAGAAAAAAAGGGGACTGTTATTTGAGCCAAACAGGATTAGAACTTGGGAGAGAGACTCTCAGAAAGTTCTGAGAACTGTTTCACCATCTGTTAGAAGTCAGGAGGCACATTCGTATCTATTTTCCAGACAAAAGATGGAACATCAAAATGACATACTGACAGGACTTTCCTGGCAGTCCTGTGGCTAAGAATTTGCCTTGCAATGCAGGGGATGAGGGTTTGATACCTGGCCTGGGAACTAAGATCCCGCATGTCTCTGGGCAACTCGGCCTGTACGCCACAACTACAGAATCTGTTGTTTAGTTGCTGAGTCGTGTACCACTCTTTTGCCACCCCATGAACTGTAGCCCTCCAGGCAATCTTCCTGACCCAGAGATGGAACCCACATCTCCTGTTGAGCAAGTAAGTCTCTTGCATTGGCAGGCAGATTCTTTACCACTGAGCCCCCAGGGAAGCCCCATGCACTCTGACAAAAGATCCCACATGATGCAATGAAGATCCCAAGTGCCACAACTAAGACTTGATGCAGCCAGATAAGTTAAAACAAACAGAGAAACAAAATAACATAGTGATATTTTACCTAAGGTTCACCAAGGATACACAGTCTAGGGAAGCACATGCAAAGCCAGCAGCAAGTTGCTGTGATCCCCTGCAGAGCTGGGAAAGAAGGCTGTTCTTTCTGGTAGTGTCAGAAGAAAGGGAAAAAAGAAATGATCTTCAGGACAGAGCAAGCACTGCCAACTCTGAGGAGCTCTGGCTAATGTGTGATCTGGGTGCACACTGCATGTTAGGGATGGAGGAGCCCCAAACAAGCACACAGAGACTTTGATCTTTAATTTTCCTGTCTTGCCTTAAAATATCAATTTCACACCATCAGGCTTATCTAAGTCATATGAAGAAGCTGTTTACCAGAATGCAAAAAGGCGTGGGGAAGTGGTTGGGGGGTGGTGATTTTCCAAACTCTTCCCTCTTTCCCAGGAGTTCAGGTAAAGTTAAGAATTAGCAGTATCGTTGGGGCAATTTTATCCTCTGAGCCCCTTCACCCTCAAAATGAGAACATGGGAACTTCCAGGGTGAGGAATTCTAATGCCCCTATTCCTTTGCAGCCTGTCCTGGGACACCCAGGAGCCCAGAAATGGCTCAGGAGTTCGGGGTCCTGGAGCAGGTAAGGAATTGGAGATCGAGGCAACAAGAAGGGAAATAACAAAGATAAGGGGAGAAGTATTATTGTTAATGTCTCCTGAGTACTAAAGAACAGATCGAAGAATCTTTTAGAGTCGCTTGAATTCTTGGGGAATCAGAAAACCCTAGTTCGCGGGGAGAACTGCAGTTCCTTGTTCTATATCAAACTCCGCCCCACTGTCAGGAAATCGGAGAAATTTTCGGACAACTGGACTACAAATCCCACAATGCACGAGGGCTTCTAAAAAAGAGGGTCGCTCCACGTTTAAAATCCTTTTGAGACACGTGCTAGGGACTACAACTCCCAGAAGGACACGCGCGGCATTGTGGCCTTGACTCTGCTGGCTAACTGAAGTTCCCCCAAACTCTTTTTTTCTAGCCCAAGGAACACCATCCCTTATTTGCTGACATCCGAAGGGCACCGGGAGCGAGTTCTCAGCCTCTCTCAAGCCCTGGCCGCTGAGGCATCGCAGTGGCGCGGAATGATGACAGGTGAGAATGAGCTGGGGACTTAGGACTCCTAGGTTTTAGGGATGAGGGAGGGTCGGAGGTCTGGAATCGCAGGTCGTGATGGGGAGGGGTCTGAGGGCCCCTGGGAATCCTTTGTCTTGATGAGGAAAGGCCTGGACAGGGCTTGGGAGTGCTAGATTCCAGGCAGGAGGGGACTGGGGTGCAGGAGTGCTGAGTCTGGGAGAGCAAGGGGCAGGCAGGCCGGACTCCTGGGTTTGAGAGGAAAGGCCCGGGGGCGGGGGGCGGTGTCTGGACTTCTGGATTCCTGAGTTTCCCATTCTCATTCCCCATCCTTCCTCTCCAGGTGGAAATTTGGACTCTCGAGGGGACCCTCTTCCCCCTGCGCCGCCGCCTCCGTCAGATCCCACGCCCCAGGCGTCCTCACCCCGAAGATCTCCTCCAACAGCCAATTCCTGCTCCACGGGTTTCTCCCCCAGAGGTAGTGGGCGCGGCGCGGGCCCCGCCTCCTGGGAGCAGACCTGGGATTCCGGGCCCGCCCCTCCCGCCCTGACCCCCGACGAGGGGGCGTGGCCTCTGAGAGTCACCCTGCTGCAGTCCAGCTTCTGACCCGCTCAGAAGTGGCAGCCAATCAGAGCGTGAGGGCGTGGCCTGGCGGGGCTACCTGAAGATCTGGAGCCTCTCGCCTCCCGTGACCTAGAAATGGTTTCTGTGGCCAAAGTTTGCTTTTCCCAACACTCGTCCAAATTTGGATTAAAACTTTGAACTTTTTAGTCAATAACTTTTTGTCTGTTTGAGGTTGTGACCCTGGTGTCTCTGGAGGGGGGGCGGTTAGAGCTGGGGTCGTGGATTTATGGGTCGCAAAGGAGGGGACCGGGACCTTGGACTTGCAGGCATGAGAAAGCAGGAAATCTCAGGGTCCGGAGTACTGGGTCTGGGGGAAGAGGGGGATGGGAACCGGATTCTTGCGTCTGAAGGAAGACGAGGGACCTGGACTTTTAGATCCGAGGGCAGAGGGCGGCCGGACGCCAGGAATCCTGAATTTGAGGGAAGAAGTTCTGGGCATCCAGACTTGGATCTGAGAGAGGAACCAGGCTTCCAGGCCTCTGGCTTTCCTGGCAACGCCTCCCACCCCCACCCTCAGGGCTGGGCTTCAAAGATCCGGCCCCTATTTACAATTCGACCCCACGACCTCACCCGACTTTGGAGGTGGATAGAAGCCCGGAGTGAGGGACAGAGGAAAGGTGGTGTCTGGCGGAATGGCAATGGGAACGCGCTATGCTGGAAAGGTTGTCATCGTGACCGGAGGCGGCCGCGGCATAGGAGCGGGGATCGTTCGAGCTTTCGGTGAGTGGGGTCTGGCTGGCTCTAATTATTGGGAATCTGGGAGAGGAGGGACCCCCGAGGGCTGTGGGTGTGAGAAAAAGTAGGTCACATCCTGGAGTCTAGATTCTTATGTTACAAGATCCGGTTTGCACAGTGAACGAAAAGGTAGGCAGTGGTTGCCTAGGGCCTGGGATTTTGGCAGATTTCCAAATGCCGTTTCTGTGGTCTCAGTAGTCTCTGCAAAACAGGCGGTTTGGGGGATGATGTCTCTTGCAGATTTCAGGGTTACTCTGGAACCCAGGAAGGCAGGCTCAGGAGCCCCAGCAGGCACCTAGAGTAACCAGAAGAATATCTATCAAAACTTCTGCTCCCCCCCCCAAAAAAAACAAACAACTTCTACCGCTTGTCCTAGAGAGTCATCATGAGACTTTGGGGTCACGAGGGGAGCAGAGCGGGAGACAGGCCCCACCCACCCCAGGTGGCCACTAGAGGGCAGCGGAGGCCTTCGCCAAGGTTTTGTTGGGGTAACCTCCTCTTTTCCGATTCTCAGTGGAGAGCGGTGCCCAGGTGGTTATCTGTGACAAAGACGGTGAGTGAGGCTCCCTCAGTCCTCATCCCAACCCCCTGGGAGGAGTCCAGGCCCCCAGCCCCCTCCTCCCTCAGACTTCGAAGTCCAGACCCCCAGCCCTTCTCTTCCTGCAGAGACCAGGGGCAGGGCTGTGGAGCGAGAGCTTCCTGGCACTGTCTTTCTGCTCTGTGACGTGACTCGGGAGGAAGATGTGAGGGTGAGCGTATTTTCTCTCTCTACGCCCCGCCATGTCCAGTTGGTTCTCTCTCCCCACGCCCCCACTCCCCTGGCCACCCCGAAGGCTTTTGCACATGCCATTCCCTCTGCCTTTCCCAGTTCTCCTGGCTTTATTGTACCGTTCAGCTCAGTATCACTTCAAGGCTTCCCCTTACGGTACTGACCAGGTCTTGTGTCTCCTGGGAGGATTCGCTCTTACCTCCCACTCTTTCAAGGCTCTGTCACAGCTGTCACATGGATTGGGACAAATACATTCCTTACAGCGGGTCTCATCCTATAAGATTCTTTTCTGTTTCCTCAGTTTCCATCCTTCCGTCTAGTCAGTATCTCTGACATCTGTCCCCAGTCCCAGGTCTCTAGGGTAGGGACCGCAGTGTGAATGTCCCCAGCCCGCTGGTCTCTGGCCCCTCAGCTGTGACTCCTGTCCCCACCTTGCCTTTGGGACCCCTGGCTCTATAAGACCTGGTTCCAGCACTGCTCACTCACAAGATCTCTGTCTCCCCAGACCCTCGTTTCTGAGACCATCCGCCGTTTCGGTCGCCTGGATTGCATAGTCAACAATGCTGGCTACCGTGAGTCGTGAGGCCTGAGGGCTGTTCCCCACTGGTGTCAGCCCACCTCCTGGCTTCTCACCCCAATCCTGGCTCCACCCCTGCTGTGGCTAAGGCCTGTGCCCTTAGCCCTTTCTGCATCCGTTTCTACATTTCTAAAACGAAGATGGCCATCCTCCTCGTCATTATAGTCATTATAGGGTCGTTGTGCTAAACAGTGTAACTGCTCAGCCTCATAATTACGGGAACTGTCTTGAACGAATAACTTCCATCTTGTAGCCTGTTTCTTATCTAGGAAGTGAGGCTGATGGCCCTTCCCTTTTTCCATGACTGGGAAGATATTTCTCCACACATGGTTTATAGGGCTTGGTGTGGAGGCTTTGAAGAGAAATTGCCATCCACTTACTGACTACCCTTCATGACAGTGCCTCACATTGCTAAACCGAGACTCAGAGAGGCGAACTGATTGGACTGGGATCACACACCATGGTAGAAAGAAGCCTTTTTTCTTGGTTGGGCAATGTTGAGCAATTGACTTACTCTCCCTGGGCTGCACTCTCTTCTTGTTGTAAGGATTTAAAGAGATACTAGTGCCTCCTTTCTCTCCATGTGCTTGATCCATTCAGCAGATATTTATTGAGCATCTACTATACTCCACCTTCTGTCCTGGGGACTGGAGATTTAGCAGTGAGCAAAATCCACCAAGCTTTCCTGTCCTCATAGCTCAGTTGGTAAAGAATCTGCCTGCAATGCAGGAGACCTCCCTTGGAGAAGGGAAAGGGTATCCACTCCAGTATTCTGGCCTGAAGAATTTCATGGACTGTATAGTCCAAGGGGTTGCAACGAGTTGGACACAACTGAGAAACTTTCACTTCCTGTCCTCATGGGATTCACATTGTAAAGTAAGGAAATAGACAATCAAAGGCAGATACGGTTAATACTCATTTATTCACGGATTCTGTACTTGCGAACTCAGCTACTTGGTGGGGACGTGGGTTGTAACCTCAGAATCCCACTGTGCTTTCTGGGTATTTGCAGACAAGTTCAGAGAGGCAAAAGTTTGAGTCACCAGCAGCACATATTCCCAGCTAAGGTCAAACAAGGTGATGCTCTGCCCTCTGAATTCAGTTTTCAAACAGAGATGCCCAGAGGTGGAGGCAGAAGAGGGCAGTGTCTTGTAAGCCTCTCTGGGGCTAGTTGGACAGGTCTGAATCCTAACTCTGGTACCTGGAGTGGGGCAGCCTCAGGCAAGTCACCTACACTCCTGAACCCCATTGCCTTATTTGCAAAATAAATGAGTCCACCAGTGCGAGTAATTTTTAGGATTTAAGATTATAATCTATGTTAGAGAAACATATAGTTGTACACATATACATATGTGCATATTTGGGCTTCCCCTGTGGCTTAGTGGTAACGCAGTGCAGGAGACGCAAGAGACTCAGGTTCAATCTTGGGTTGGGAGGATCCCCTGGAGGAGGGCATGGCAACCCACTCCAGTGTTCTTGCCTGGAGACTCCCATGGACAGAGGAGCCTGGTGGGCTACAGTCCGTGGGATCACAAAGAGTTGGACATGACTGAAGCGACTGAGCAGGAGCACGATATTCCTTATACACATAACACATATATGTTCTGTCTTAGCCTGCTCACTCTGCTATAATAGAAATACCATGGACTCAGTGACTTAAACAATGAACATTTGTTTCTGGAGGCTGGGAAGTCCAAGATCGAGTCAGAGGCAGATTTGGTATCTGGTGAGGCCCTGCTTGCTGGGGCCTCACAGGTAGAAGGAGCGAAGGACCTCCCTGGGGTCTCTTTTATGAGGGCACTAATCCCATTCAAGAAGGCTCCATCCGCATGACTTAACTCCCACAGACCCCCACCTCCAAATACCATCTTATCGAAAGTTAGGATTTCCTTTTCTTATAACAGTTTATATATATATATATTGGCTGTGCTGGGTCTTTGTTGACGCACGGATTTTTCTCTAGTTTCAGAGACTGGGGGCTCCTTTCTAGGTGCAGTGCTCAAGCTTCTCATTGTGGTGCCTTCTCTTGTGGAGCCCAGGCTCTAGAGCGAGTGGGCTTCAGTAGTTGTGGCTCCTGGGCTCTAGAGCAGGCTCAGTGGTTGGGCTTAGTTTCTCTGCTACGTGTGGGATCTTCCCAGATCAGGGATCAAACCCATGTCTCCTGCATTGGCAGGTGGATTCTTTACCACTGAGCCACCACGGAAGCCCTGAAGTTAGGAGCTGAATGTATGAAATCTGGGGGAGGACACAAGCATTCTGTCCATAGTATGTATATGTCATAATGTAATATTATATATACATATTTTCCCTTAGGAGCAGTGGGGTCACTATTCACTAATGCAGTGTTCGCTGTGACTTTGTGGACTATAATTTCCTCAAAGAATGAGAACTGGCTGTATATATTAGCATGTCCCATAGTGATAACGGCCTTGAAGAAAAATAAAGCTGATTGAGGGCTTAGAGAATGGCAGGGGTGGTTTTGGACATAGGATCTGGGATGGATTCTCTGAAGCTGTTTGAACTGTTTTCTGAAAGAAACAAGGCCATAAGCCCTGGGACTCCGAGAGGAATACCCAACATTTCCTTAATTTTCCGTCATCTTGTTTCCCATCTCTCTTTCCTTTCATCCACTTTTAACATATATTTATTTATTTGGTGGTGTTAGGTCTTAGCTGCCACACGTGGGATCTGGTTCCCTGCCCAGGGATCGAACCCTGGCCCCTGGCATTGGGAGTGTGGGATCTTTAGTCACTGGATCACCAGGGAAGACCCTCTTCATCCACTTTGGCTCCTAAAGCCTTTGGAAGGTTTGAGGTCCATTTTTCCCAGGTTTTTTTTTTTTTTTCCTGTTCTTATTCCTATCATTCCTGCCTCTTTTCTTCTGAATGTTGATTTTTCTGTCCCTATACTATCCATCCAGTTCTATTTACTTAACAAACACATTTACTGTAGTAGGTCAGGCACAAATATTGATGTGTGAAATTTCTGAGCTTGAGAACAAGGTGTCATCCTCATTTTGCACATGAACAAACAGGCACAGACAAGCAAAGTGACTTGCCTAAGGTCACGCAGCTAAGAAATGGCAGGGTTGAGGTTTGAACCCAGGTTTTCTGGCCCTGTGACTGCTTTCAAAGTTCTTTTTTTTCCTTTTGTTGCTTCTTTTAAATTTTTCAATTGATGTACAGTTGATTTACAGCATTATGTTAGCTTCAGGTTTGCAGCATAGTGATTCAATGTTTTTACAGACTATATTCCATTATAGGTTATTTCAAGATAACGGCTATAATTTCCTGTGCTATAGAGTATATCCTTGTTGCGTATCTATTTTATACATAGTAGTTTGTATCTGTACGAGTTTGCATACCCCTGGTTTTCTGTTTCTGTTTTTTCACCTTGTATACCCCTAATTTGTCCCTCCCTCCTTCCTTCACCCCTTTGGTAACCATAAATTTGCTTTCTATATCTGAGTTTGTTTCCATTTTGCATCTATTAATACATTTATTTATATTATTTGTTAGATTCCACATACAAGTGATATCATTGCAGCATTTGTCTTTCTCCAGCTGACTTATTTCACTAAGCATAATCGTCTCTAGGTTGCTGCAAATGGCAGTATTTCCTTTTTTTAAGGCTGAGTAATATTCCATTTGTACATATAAACCACCTCTTTTAAAAATTTTTTATTATTTTTTGTTGGCAGCGCTGTGTCTTTGTTGCTGCGCGAGGGCTTTCTCTAGTTTCAGAAAGCAGGGGGCTATTCTCTAGTTGAGGTGCTCACAACTAGAGAGGTGGAGACTTCTCTTGAAGCACAGGCCCCGGGCACTGGGGCTTCAGCAGTCGCAGCCTGGGCTCAGTAGCTGCGGCATGTGGGCTTGCTGGCCCTGGGCATGTGGAATCTTCCTGGGCCAGGGATCGAACCCATGTCCTCTGCACTGGCAGGTGGCTTCTC